AGTGACAATTTCATTTCTTCCTTACCAATCTGGCTGCATTTTATTTCTTTGTGTTTACTTCCTTACTATCTAACAGTTTAATTTAACTCACTTAGTATGTTATTACAAACACAACCTGAAGGTTCTTTTTTTTTTCCTCCTCCATTTTTTATATATAAGTTATCATATTCTGTACTGCTTGTCTGTCCCTTGACTGACTTTGGGTTTGGTTGATTTGATTTTACATCTGCTTAGTAATTAATTGTTCTACTTTATTTACTGTGGTTTTATTTCCTCTGGTGACAGTTATTTAGCCTTAGAAAAACTCCCCTCTAGAACAGTCCCTCCAAAATACACTGTTGAAATGCTTTGTGGGATGTAAATTATCTCAGTTTTTGCTTATCTGGAAATTGTTTAATCCCTCCTTCAAATTTAAATGATAATCTTGCTGGGTAGGGTATTCTTGGTTTGACACTCTTCTGCTTCATGGCATTAAATACATCATGCCACTCCCTTCTGGCCTACAAGGTTTCTCTTGAGAAGTCTGATGATAGCCTTATGGGTTTTATTTCATATGTGATCATTTTTCTCTATCTGGCTTTAAAAGTCTGTCCTTATCCTTGATCTTTGCCATTTTAATTATTATATGTCTTGGTGTTGTCTTCCTTGGGTCCCTTGTTTTGGGGCACCTCCATGGCATAAGAGATTATTTCCTTCCCCAGATTGGTGATGTTTTCAGCAATTACCTCCTCAAAGACACTTCCTATCCCTTTTTCTCTCTTCTTCTTCTTCTTCTGGTACCCTTAAAATGTGAATATTTTTCCATTTAGATTGGTCACACAGTTCTCTTAATATTCTTTCATTCCTAGAGATCCTGTTTTCTCTCTGTACCTCAGCTTCTTTGTATTCCTGTTCTCTAATTTTTATTTCATTTTCTCTCTCCTCTACTTCATTTAATCTGCTTTTAAATCCCTCCATTGTATGTTTCATTTCAGGTACCATATTCTTCAATGTTTGTATCCCATTCCTGAATTCCTCCCTGAGTTCCTGAATATTTTATGTAGCTCCATGAGCATGTTTATGACTTTTATATTAAAATCTCTTTCAGGAACACTGCTGAGTTCAGTTTCACTTGGCCCTCTTACTGGTGTTTGTGGGATTTTGGTTTGAACCAGGTTCCTTTGATGTTTCATATTTGTAAGTGGCACCTTCTAGTGCCCAGAAGTTCTCCTCTTTGGAGCTTCTCAGCCCCTGGAACAACGGTGGAGGTTGCAGGTGAGTGTCACTGGTTGCTGTCAGGAGGAAAGAGGTCTTCCCTGCTTCCCAGCTGCAGTGCCTGCCTCCACTGCTGGGGCAGTGGGCCAAGTGTGCAGGGAGAAGCCTTCATACTTTGTACTTGTAGCTTCCATAGGTGGGGCCACCCTCTGGCTTGCCTGGTGCAATGGCTAGGGCAGCTGGTTTGTGAGCTGGTGCTGGCTGGTAGGAAGGCACAGCAGGCTGCATATCATGGTTGGGGGCCTTGGAGCTATGTAGCCAACCAGTAGGATGAAGTGCCTGAAGTTCCTGAAAGTTCCCAACCTGCTGGGCTGAGTGCCCTGGACAATATTGTCCACTGTCCTTTCTCCTGAGCAGCAAGATCTGTGAAATCCTTGCCCCTTTAGCAGCTCTTTTGCTGTTAGGAAGTCTCTCCAACTGCCTGCCTTTCTTTTGTCCCAGAGCGGCCAGATGTGGATCCCTGTTTTCCACAAGTGGCTGTAATCTCAGTCTCTCCAAGTATTCTGCCTGTCTTAGCTTTCCAATCCCATTAATCTCCAGAACACCATGTAATGTAGTTTCATGCTCTCAAGCAGATCTCCAGGGCTGGGTGTTCAGCAGTCCTAGGCTTCCATCCCCGCCCTGCTCCATTTCTCTTCCTCCCTCAGGTGAGTTGGGGTGGGGGAAGGGGTTGGATCCCTCTGGATCACGGCTTTGGTACTTCACCCTTTTCCTTGAGGTCTGCTGGTTTCTTCAGGTGTAGGCAGTCTGTTGCAACCTTCTTTCCTGTTGCTGTTTCAGGATTTTATGTATTTGCTACATTTTCTTATTACATGTGGTTTTGGGAGGAGGTTTCTGTCTCACCTCTCATGCCACCATCTTTTAATCTAGAGAGACTTCTTAAACTGATTTTTAACTTAATGACAATTGTAGATCAATGTTTAAAGTAATGATTTGAATAAGGTCTGTAAACCATTGGTACTGTACTAAAACAAACTGTTTGGATTTGACATTGTCTTTGATTTGGTTAAGACATCCTCCAAGAAGGCTGAGGGAACAGTACATTGGAACTCAGTACTATTTTTGCAACTTCTTGTGAGTTGTTATTTTGCAATTTAAAAAAATCTTTAAAAAAGAAAGACTTTCCACAAAATAAATACACTATGATAACTACATTCATATATACTCATTAAACTATTCCTCCTCAGGACTGATACTAAGAAATTTTGTTTCTAATATATGTAGTAGATTGAACACAAGCAATGGAGTCAGAAAAATTGTGGTAAAAATTCAGCCTAAGGAACTTTCTAGCTTTATAAACTTGGAAATTTTATTTAACTTCTGTAGCTTCAACTTTCATACCTGTAAAATGCAGGTAATAATACCTAAATTATAGTGCTAAGGTATTTAAATGAGATAATATATGCAAAATGCTTGGTAGATTCCTGACATATAATAAGCCCACATGTTATGAACTCAATAAATGGTAGCAAGTTAATTACTATGGATAGTTTTAATTAATAAAATTGAATTTCTTTTGAAAAATCCTGTAACTTAGTCTCTGGATGAGGTCTTTAACACATTCTTATAAGAAAAATCCATTCATAGGGCTCCTGCCAAATTCTAACTTGTTAACCTTACAATAATTAAAGTTTCTTATTGATCCCTGTTTGGAATGCTTACCTCATAAATCCTTTAGGGTATCAGAAAGGCACTTAAAACCCAACATGACCAAATCCTAACTCATAATGTATTCCCCCAAATTTAGTCCTCTTCCAGTGAATCATGCCACCATCCAAACAAACCAGAAACCAAGACATCACCTCACACCTCACACCCTATGCATCTTACCAATTTGATCTCTTGTCTCTAACTCTGCCCACTTCTCTCCACTATCACTTTAGCTCCTGAATACAAGTTATGCTATCTCTTGCTTGCGCCTCCTTAGCAGTATCCCTAGATCTACTTGGACTACCCCTGTTGTCCACATTGCAACTAGAATGCTTTTTTTTAGATATAGAAACATGATTATAATTGCTACCTCCCACCTATACTATCCTCTTAGAAACCTAAAACACCTCTTTTGGGTTTCTAAAAAGAGCTCTTTTAGATTTCTTTTTTTACGTATTTTAGGAGAGTACAATCAAAATTCTTGGTATTACCAATGAATATGGTCCTTTGAACCCTGTCATGCTCAGTCCCTGTGATAGTTAGTTATATGTCAACTTGGCTAGGCTGTAACACCCAGTTCAACACCAAACACTAATGTTGGTGAAGATATTTTGTAAACGTGATTAACATCTATAATCAGTTGACTGTAGGTAAAGGATATTATCCTCCACACTGTGGGCAAGCCTCATCAGTCAGTTAGAAGGCCTTACAAGCCAAACTGAAGCTCCCTGAAGAAGAAACTCTTCTTCAAGACTCAGATCCTGCTCACAACTTTGCAGCCTTGTGGCCTGCCCTACAGATTCTGACCTAATGAGTCCTCATAAACATATAAGCTGATTCCTTAAAATAGATCTTTCTATATATACTATATATGATATAGATATACACACACACACACATAACCTACTGATTATACATGCTTTATATAAATGTAACCATGACTTATATATTAATTTTTCAAACTGTATGTACTTTCTTTCAGAAGAACAATTAGAATTGGTATTATTTTAATAACCATTTTTACAGTATTATATTTAACTTATTGCAATGTTTAATTTTAACATACATATTTCATATACCTTTATATTATTCCTGAGTTTTATTCTTGTTCTTGAATTTTAGATTGTTTAATCTCTTTATTAGAAGATTTTTTTGCATTTTTTTCAGTTCTTGCATAACAGAAGATATCTTTTGTTTGCTTTCACATGTAAACAGTATTGTAGCAACAGTTGCCAATTCCTTAGTCATAATCTTTCTTTCCCTAAACATTTATAGATTTTGTACCACTACCTCCTACATTTAATGGAATAGAGAATTCTAAGGTCAATAAGCTTGTATTTTTTCTTGTACTGTAAGGATTTGGGCCAATCATTATCCTTGATGTTGATCTGTTCAAATTAAATATCACTATACCCATATTTGCTAAGTATATTTTAGTTAAAGTTTTCATTATTCTTTCTGCTGTACTTACTGTGGGCCCTTATTAAAAAGAGCTACTACCTATATGTACTTTGTATTTTCTGTTCTTTATTTCTAATGCCTTCTCTATTATTATTTTCATCTCCAATCTGATCTTATGTTCTGCATTAAGGTAGATTCCAGCAGTTTGGTCTTCATTTGCCTATTTGCTCTGAGTTAGTGGTGATTTCATTCTTTGCTGCTTCCAATAAATTATTAAATTGTTACTGCATTTTAAATTCCATAAGATTCTTCGTGAGCTTCCTCTTTCTCCTAATAGATTTCTATCTCTTAACCAGCTATCATGCCAGTTCAGACTATTATGGTCTCACCAATACATCATCTCTTATCTCATGGAATTCATATTTTTCATGTTTTATTAACAATAGTAAACATACATTATCTAAACTTCACTCTGTAAGTAAACTATATCCTCTCCTGCCTTTGGCTTGTTTCATTCTTCTATTATGTTACAGTGTTGTTGTTGTTTTTAATTCCCTGCTAGTCCCTTAGTTTTCCATTTATTCACCCTTGAATTATGATTCTTAATCTAAAGTTGAAATTCATACTATTACGAAACCTCAAGTAGAAGCAAACTAGACCAAAAAGTACATCCTTAACATACCCCCATTCCTTACCTCTCATTGCCTGAGGCGATGTCAGCTGCAAGATGAGTCCAGGACTTCTTGGGGTAAGCACTGTGGAGCTGGACTTTCCCATAAACCCCTGAAACCAGAAGAAGCAACAGCTGGATAGGAAAATCCTGCAGAGGAATTCAGGCCACACAAGTAAAAGTCATCAAAGAGGCTACTGCGCAGTATGTGATATGGAAACCATGTTTGAAAATGTCTACCTCATCAGAAAAAGAATATTTAGTACTCTATTTTCAGCAGGCCAAATATATCTCACATAGCTATGAAACTTATTCTCTCAAAACCTATCGAGAAATGAATGCTACACTGTATGTACTAATCCAAAAGCCAGACAACAAACCATTCTAATGGTTAACTAGTAAAATTTCCACCATGAAGTGACTCGAAACCATTTGCAATTCTGCTGGAAGTTGACTGGTTTTGATATTGTATGTTATACCCTAGATGTTCCAGAAGGCAAGGGTAATTTTATTTCCTGAGGAAAGAGATTTGGTGCTCTTAGCTTTGCTTTCAGTGGTTGGACCTCATATTTTTTTGTATTACAGATATCAAAGGATAGATCTCTAACTCCTTTGTTGCAAAATATAATTTATTTCAGGCTCATAAATTAAAGTCTTACCAGGGCCATGCTTGATGCAGTCCAGTTTTATTCCTTCAGGTCTTTCCTTTTACATGTTTTATTGCCATTTAAAATCATATGAAGCACAATTCCTCATATCCTAGTAGTCTAAAAATGTCTTGAGTATTAACCCAAGCATTAACAAAATTATGATCATGCATTCCCAATGCATGTATATTTATTTTCTTTTAGATAAATAAACATATGCATACATTAATAAATTCATATATGTTTGAATAGAAGTTCTGACATTTTCTTCCTACACCCAAATAGATTATCTGCATAACCCCAGCCTGTTGCAACCCATTTTCTTTCATATTACTAATCTTGAAATCTAAAGATTTCACAATCTTTCTCAGAAAACATATGAATAAAAGAAGCAAACACCAGTAAGGCATAAATAGTATGCTTTGGATTTTCATTCAACGTGAACCGAAAAATCTCAGCTCATTAGAATCTAGCCAACTGCTTATGTTAACATCCTTAATTTATCCCATACTTTAATTCAGAAAGAAGTCAAAAGATAATAAAAATAAAATAAGTATTGATGGAAATGTAGAAAAACACTCTCACTTTCAGGACATGTCCTAGAATCCATCTTTCACAATAATAGTCATACATATATATATAAAAGTTTCATAAGATACCATCAACATCATCCTAAAAAAATTCCATCTTTTTCACTATTGGCTAAGTAAGCTAGCCAGGAGAAAAACATGAAGTAATTTAGAGGAAGTTACAACAAAAAAGATATAACAAAAACCAGTTTATTTCCTTAAATTTGACTTATCCAGAAAATTTAGTTGACCAGATAAGCAGATTTCTTGATCATTTACAGTAACCAAAAGTTTGCTGTAAAATGAGACCATTTCTTAGTAGTTTCAAGGAAATTATGATACTTAAAGAGATTAAAACCTGTCACTTATACTTAGGATACAAAATTTTAAGGATGCAGTGGAACAGATATTTCATTCCTCATTCAGTTTAATATCAGATAAAATTTCAAGGACACCAGTTTATCCATAAGGCCAGAGTCAGGAATCAGGACAAGCATCCTTGTATTTTCTAAGACAAATTTTAACTCAATGCGGTACTCCTTAGAGCAGAGTGGACTCCACAGGCAGAAAGAGATTGAAGGTTCCTGTCATCATCCATCTAGTTTGTTAACTTGAAGAAATAAAAATATTCTTGGATCTCATATTCTTAAAAAGATATAATAAATAGCATGTATATAGAAATCCTTTGGAAATAGTAAAGCACAATCAAAATATTACATGGCGATGGGTACACATTATGAAACTAGGTTACCAAACTTCACACTATCCTAACATGATTGTTGAAATTTTACTGAGTCACTCAGATCTTATGAAATTAGTAATGCCACACAGAAAAAGTGAGGAAATACTGGAAATATGATAAGTATTTCAACTCCTTAAAATGAGTTACTGTGTGTTTCTTATGTCATGGTTATACAATGCCAGTCCCAGTTACTGTGTCTTGTGAAGGCCAATTTAAAAATACGTATTGGTATTGTGTCAGTGTCAAATGAAGAAACTGTCAACAATGAATGTTTCTTTGTAATCTATAGATCTATCCATTTAAGAAATATATCAATAATCACACAATGTTTATAGCAGCTAACATAGACTCTCAGTGCAGACTTTGGTGTCTGACCAATCTGGATATAAATCTAAGTTTGGACACTGTAAATCTGTGTATCCTTCTGCAAACTCTTCTTCCCCTTTGAATCTGTTTCAACATCTGTAAAATGGACATTGTCACAAGAAAGCTGATAACTGAAATAATAAAAATATATATTATGTAGAAGAGTGCCTTGCATTGAGTAGATGTTCTGTGAATGGTCCTTCTCTATCTCTCTCTCTCACACACACACATACATACATACATACATGCACACTTCAGTTTTAATAAAAACTATTATTATAGTCTTACCAATTGTTCCTGGATCAATATGAATGCCATTGAAACGGTCACAAAAGACTCCTTCTGAGGCTCTAAGGAGAATCAAAAGCTTTTGTTCTTTTTCTAATGGATTTTCTAAAGTACCTGTTTACAAAGAAAAGCATATCATTTAAATTGATTTGAAATTAAAAGAGAAGTTGTGAGCTAAATTCAGGAATGAAAAGTAGATACTGTAAAGTAAACTATGTGGAGAATAGACAATGTTACAGAGATGAAATAAGAGAGGACAAAAATGAGATGCAGTAAACCTCTCTAAAGAAGACTAAATTACTTTTCAGGGAATATTCACTCTTCTTTCTTCATTGGGGCAGAGTATACTTTCCTGACCTACTAACAGTTAGCTTTGGTCATGTGACTTGTTTTGGCCAATGAACATTGGGTAGATGTGATAGTAATGCTAGCTCTGAGTTGATGAATTAAGATGCTTGGCAAATTCTCCCCAGATAACTTGTAATGATGTTCCCTGCCACAAAGGGAGGATTCCTTAAGTAGCTTCTAGTGCCTGAATGAAAGAGATAGGCAGCAGAGCTGAACAGAACACACAAGCTGGTGGAAACAAGTCCAATCAAGTCTAGCAAAAATATTTGTTTCTGTAAGCCACTGAGATTTGGGGATTATCTGTTACACAGCATTATTACAGCAAAACCTGACTTGGTACCCTGTCTGTGGCTGGATTCCCAAATTGCTTTCCATGCATTTTAGCATTTAATTCTCATGAAAACCTGAGAAGGAAGTGGGATTTATACCTAGATTTTAAGTTCATATATAATGAGATTTAGAGATTAAGGAACTTGTCCAAATTTATCCAACTGGTAAGAGTCTGGACTGGAACAATGGTCTGTTGATGCTAATTGTTTTATCAAACAAGTAATAGGTCTAAGCCTAAATTATTTTAGCAGCATAAAGATACAGTCCATTCAGGCTATGATACTCAGGCCAGTTGGGAATTACTTCTAACTGATGTAGACAGAGGAGTTTGATCACTTTTACCGAATGGGAATTGTTTGAGAAATTTGCTGAAATAGAGTTAGCAAGTATAGACCTAACAAAGGTTCTTTTCTTCAGAAAATATATCTTAGAGTATAGAGACTATTGCAAAAAAATCATTTTTCAAGAATCAGCTTGTGAGAAGAAAGTCTTCAAAATATATATGGGATCAAAGTGGTTGACAAAAGACATCTGCTATCAGATGGGACTTTCCATTTTAGACATTCCTGAAAATATCTAAACCCAAACAGAGGTTGCCAAATACAGTATGAAGTCAATGGTAAATGAAAATCACCTAAGTGGTCTTTCAGGGGTTATAAAATCATTCTCCCCAGCTGGCATTCCATAGGTACATCATTGGTCAAAAGGCTCACGGTGAGTTTAAAGCTTGGTCCATAGCTATCCTTATATCCAGCCTTCACAGCCATTTGGCTACAAGGAACTGTTGAAAGTAAGGCTCTGAGAGGTAAGCAACACTGCCTGAAGTCACAGAGTGGGCCAATGGGCAAGCAAGGACCAACCCCCCATAGCCAGCATGTGCCCAAGGAAACGTTAAGGTATTCTGATGCTTCACGGAGGTAATGCCAATCCTGAGCCGAGCGACTCCTGTATCTTCTTAGCCAAAACAAAGATGTGCTAGAGCGGAAAGAAGGGAAACAGTGAAGGAGAATGTTAACAAAATGCGTGTGGTGTAGCTCTTATCTGCTTATAAGTCTGTCCAGTAAGCCGTTTTCCAACTGTGTTTCATTTATCTCATGGAGGGTAGTTTAGATTCTTGCGGAAAGAAAAAGGACCTAGCACTAAACAGATACCAAAGAAAAAAAAATAGCAGTTTTTTGCCCTAGAGAAATGTATGCAGAGTCCCATAAAGAGTTTACCATTGCTCTAAAATCAGAGATTAAATCAATTATGCGCCCCCAAAGTGCAGCACACGCGGGGTTTCACAGAAAGTCTGGGCAGAATTAGTCTCTGCTGTGAACATTTGGTATCTGAAATGCCCAGAGTTTGAATCCTTTTTTGTGAAGTAGGAGAGGGCAAGATGCCGTTTAGGGACTGTAGGAAGAAGGCAAGAGGGACCTAAGAGAAGGAAATACATGCTATTTAGCATTAAAATGCAGTGCCTCCTGAATATGCAAAAGCTGGTGAATGGAAGGCCATAAAGGCCACGCTCCTCATTTTATTCTCGAAACTAGCGATGGAAGCCTGGTAAGGCACGCTCACCAGCGCAGGCTTTGTCCCTAAGTGAGAGTAGCCCCGTCAGAGAGAAGGCTCTCAGGACAAGACAGTGCCTCCGTCACTGGCTTCCTCATGAAAAGCTTTCTGGCTGCTCTGCACTGCAGCAAAAAGCATTTCAACCTGGATGAATTCAGATACTCATAATGAAGGGCAAATCATTGTCACTGTGCTGCAAAAACATGCCAGGTGTTTTGACATACATGATTTCATTTAATTCTCAAAATCCTTGGGTGGATATTGTGGACGTTCTCATGAGGAAACTGAGACAAAGAGAGGTTAAGTAACTTTTCAGAAATTACACAGCTAATCAGTGGTGAAGCTGGGCTTACACTTAATAAGTACCACACTATGATATAAAGGCATAAGAAAGAAGTAAAGGGAAGTTGCCATTCTTTAGGATGGTGGTGGGCAGCGGAGGGGAAACAGAATATGTTCCAGATGCTAAAATCACCTGGGGAGATGGAAGAAAATAAGTTCTGGTATATGAAAGATAACCGTTATAATGATTTGAGGACTATGGTACAAATGGATTCCATGAACTTCAAAGGTAAGAAAAAGGGAAAAGGACCTTGTATTATTTTATTAACTAAACATCTTTGATGGATCAGTATAAACCTAGTTTACACTTAAGCCCACTCTCAATATGACTCCCCACACCTGGTAACTAAGCCAGGCCACACTGAATTATTTACTGTCCCCTCCACTCTCTCTGTGTGTGTGCATGAGATTCCCTAGGCTTTTAATCCCCACCCCCCACCACCACCCCCCGCCATCCTAACTCCTTATTATCCCTCAAAACTTGGCTCTCCTATAATTTATTTCTAAAGGACTTCCATGATCTTAAATTAGATGCCCCCTTGGGCAGAAAAATGTCTGTGCCCCTGATGGTAGTAATTCTCCTTCAAGGAACTTGTCCTAAAAAAAGTATAAAATGCAGGCAAAGACTGATGTCCAAACTGCACTGTTATCTATTTATAATGGCAAATATGTGTAAATGCTTTGAAATAGCAACTCACTGGAGATGACTTTGTCCATTTAGAAGCCCTTCCTTTTTCCCCAGTTTCCCTGACATGCTCAGTGCAAAGTCCCTAAACAAGACCAAACCCAGCTCAGCTCAGATGCCATCTCTTCAGGGACCCTCCCTTGTCAACTAAATCTGGGTTAAGCAGCTCTCTGAAGGCCATCCTAGCATACCATGCTGTACCTCAGTACTTCCGAACCGTACTTCAAGCACCTTGTACCCGACGACCTCCCTTTGCTTACAGAGAGCTGATTGAGAAAAGGGGCTGTGTTTCGCCAGCAGAGTTCATCTATATTTTATCCCAGGGATAATGAACTAGGTAATTTTAACCCATTCTCTTACAGAAAACAATTAGAAATATGGAGGAATACTCCACAGTAAAAAAGACTCATTTCACCAGTGCTGTAATTTTAATCATATATATGCCTAACACCACAGCTTCAGAAGAAGTAAAGCAAAACTTGATGGAATTACAAGGAAAAAAGATATATCCACAATAACATTGGAAAATTAAACATAACTCCGCATACAATAAACAAAAAGTACATAATAGGCATAAATGGAAAACTAGACCCATAAAGAATATATATTATGTTCAAGCATGCATAAGACATTCACAGATAGTGATATGATCACCCTAAAGCAAGTTTAATAGATTTAAAAGGATTGGAATCATGTAGCATATGCTTGTGGCCATAGCTGAATCAAAAGATGCGATTCATTGTAGAAAAGTTTTATAAAATGAACTATATTAAAATAAAAAGTTTCTACTTATCTGCAGATAACCATTAAGAAAGTGAAAAAGTAAGCCACAGAGTGGGCAAAGATACTTTCAACACACGTAACCAACAAAAGGTACATTCCAAAGCATACAAACGACTTCAGTAAATCAATATAAAACATGTAATTCATCATTAAAAAAGGGTAAGAGAACAGCTACTTCCAAACCAACATATCAAAAAGACAATACAAGTTTAAAAGTGCTCAATGCTATTAGAAATCAGAGAAATGCAAATTAAAACAATTTTGAGATCCCTCTACATATCCACTAGAATGGATTTATGTCTGAGCTCTCTATTTTTTGTTTTACAAACTTCCATACATATGTGTCATATTTCACAATAACAGAAATTTATTAACTGATTATTATGTTCCAAGGACACTCACCGCTAAGAATTTCTTGATCAAAAGAATGGAAACTGACTGTCCAAAAATTTTGTTTATTTTTCTGCTGCAACATACCATTAAATTTTTTTTTACAGTTTTACTGAGGTATAATTGATATGCAAAAACTGCCTGTATTTAAGGTATACTGATCAAAATTTTAGTCACATCTCCCTAATAAGCTTTTCGTCAGGTCCTGTTCACTGACTCCAAAGCAACAAATTGTGTTCCTAAATAATGTGTTTCTGTCCAAGTTAATCTTGAAAGTGCTTAAATATCATGGTTGTACATAAAAGATAGGTTAAGAAATTACCCGCCAAATCAATTTTACAGATTTTTCCTGTCCTCAGAAGTAGGTGACGTGGCGATGACTTAGTAAGTTGAGCTTACAGCTGGAGCATAACTATCTCTCTCATGTCGTGCTATATTTTCTTCAGAGAGGAGCCTCTAGAACATTCTTACTATCAGAAACAAACTGGCAAATCGTGCTAAACCAATTAAATTGTGAAGATTTTATTCTCAGTGTATATTTTACCTACTTATCCCTAAAACATCCCTCCCTAAAAGAATCAATCACATGCGAAGAAAAAAAAAAGGAGGGTGGAAGTCTTCCAGCCCAAAGAAATAAGAATGGGTCATAGGAATAACCAGTAGGCACTATTAATTAGCTCAACCC